CAGCCGTGCTGTCGGATAAAAGATTCGAAAGCGGCGTTGAAAAGCGAACTAGTTCTGCACTCAGCAGAATGGAGATAAAAGCAAATTTTCTGATCTTAAAAAAGCATCGAAGAAGAGCTAGAAATTAGGCTGGCTGTCATTGAAATGAGCTTCGAAGTACAGAGAGGAAATCCGATAAAAATGTCAGGACTTTTAACACTGCAAGTAGAAACGATCAAGAGCCACTTCCCTGGTGATATAATATTTGGCTTAAAGAAACACAAGGAAGTACCTTTCCACATAGCACTCAAAACACATTCAAAATGCAGCAAAGCCATTAGGAAAATGAATGGAAAAATCCTTCAGTGCGCGATTAAATGAGTTGTAGATGAGTGTGTGCATTTATGCTTCCCTGTTTTTAAGAAAAGTGTGTTCTTTGACTGTGTTCTTCCTCCCCGGCCCCTTCACGTGTTATTTGTGGTTTTGTAGCCTTTGAGGAATAGAAGCAGCTGTGTATGGTTGTGTGGTGCCCAGTGGAGTCCTGACTTGATGTCTGGCTGTTGCAATGTATGTACTAAATAACCTGACTCATCTAGATTTATCCAGATAATACATATAATGCCTGATAATACATGTGAGGAACCATTTCAATCAGTATAAAAGGATATTTCAGTGCTAGGAGCTTCAAACACTATTGATTAAAGCCTCACCATTCGTGTACCTAATTGTTCAAGGAAAACTTGATCAAGCTCCCAGTCGTTTTTTTCTCTTTACTTAGTCTGTCTTCTCCCAGACCTCACCACTTGTTCAGAGCAGCTCTGCCTCCCTCATAACTGGCACTGTACTTCCTCTTTTCACCAGTTTTTTTGTGTGCCAGTCTCATCATATTTGCTCCATGCAAAGTGCCAGATGTGTTGGTAGGCCAGTAGGAATTATTTTTGTCTACAATAAGAAATAGTTCAGCTTTTGTGCCCTCAAGTAGCCACAGTGAGATGGTAGAGTCATGGTTAACTTCAGTCATGCCAGTTCCACTTAATGCAAAATGATTATAAAGCAAACTCCCTTTCTGTGAAGCTTTTTAAAGCAGGAGGAAAATGCAAGAGATAATTTAATGTAGGGCTTGTGTTGGTAGGTCAGAATAACAAGACAGTGTCTTTTTTCCAGGCTGTTAGCAATAAAAGAACAGTTGCATGTGGTAAAAACAGTATGTTCTGGACTCTCTGCCAGTGGGGGGGAAAAAAAAAAGGTAGATTTTGCAAATTGAAAAAAATCTCTTTGGTTCATGTAGGTTGATAGCATTTGTTAAACAAGACCAGGTGAAATGTGTTCCATTAGTAGTAATAACCCTTACATCTAATAGTAATTATGTGAACTGGTAAGGCAGTAAGATTTTGATAGAATGTAGCATCATTTACTCAGGCTTTCTAGAATTTCTTTGAAAAACTGACACATTTATCCAGAGACGTTTTTGCTTTGCCAGCTCTGCCCAAATTTTTATTAAACAGTCAATTTATCTTTGGGAACAGACTGCTGTTTTCCCTGATAATGTTAACCAGACTTGTGGTGAGGCCAGACACGGTGGCATTCAAAACAAGTCATAGCTGATCTGAGCCACCTTATTTTTCAGATGGCACCTGGTAGTGTAAGGAGAAAACAGCTCATGTGCCCTATAACATAGTTCAGGAGAAAAAGTAAGGTTCAAATAAAATATATGTATAAAATAATTGCGAGTGTATGAAAGTACATTTGGAACAGAGCATTGAGTTCTGGTTTCAGCAGAAAAAGGTTTGAGGGACTAGCTGCTACACACATCAGCCATAAATATTTTTCCTTACAAATTGTTACAGTTGATAATCTGATGTTTGTAATGAATATATCAGTATTGCATAATCTAACGTTTGCTTCATACTGTTATTATTCTTTGCAATAAACTCGCATCTGACATGTGGTATGACTCAACCCAAAGGTCATGTTGGAAAAGCGTTTTTTTTTAGTGTTGGAGTTGCTTTTATGTTACATTTTATTGCATACTTTTGGCTTGTAGTCTAGTAAAATGCAGGCTGCTTAGCCTATGCCAGTACTTGGAAATAAAGATGCTGCTCCATCAGGGTCCTGTTCAATGTGAAAAGGATGTGCTCATCTGTCTGAACTCTGTCACCCTGTGTTGTGACTGGAAGGGTTATGGAAAGCAGGAATTTGTGGCTTTGTATGTACCATGAAACTCTACTTTAAAGGCATTCACTGAAGGGTAAATCATGTAATTGAATGACTTGTTCACATTTTTACCATTCTGAAGGTATGTGGAACAGCAATGAAATACTATAAAGCTCTAGTATGGAAGGGCTGAGTGACTCCTGAGTCAGGAAGCTTTGTTTTACTCCAGAAAGTTGAGCAAACGTAGCAATAAAATCCAAATGGTCTGTGTCAGTGAACATTGAAATAGTACTGGAATGTTGTTCTATCCAGTTCCTATTAGCGTTGTCAAGATTTGTACTGGAAATTTTTTTTTTAATTTGGGAAGACAGTCTCATCGTGGGCCCTGTGTTGCATGTTCTACTTCATTAGGGATTGGTGATCCTGATGAGCTCTGTTCTTGCTTACGCTTAGTCTTGAAACCACTAACTTCTGACATTGTCTGCAAGGATTAATTTCCAGGGAGGGCTTAGTATGCCTCTGAAAATGAGTATTTTTTTTTTCGTGCTGAACTGAGAGTCTGAGACAAAAACCAAAAATCTTCTTGATATATAAAATGTGTGTGTGTGTCTACACAAGAGAAGTTGGGTACAGAAGTTGGGGCAGCAGGTCACGTTACAATATATTCTGCTGCTGATGGCCTGATGCTCGAAGGGAAGATGCCCTTGGCAGATGATTAGCAGTTCACTTGTTGTCTTTGTACTGGGACTGTTCCTTGCTAAACTGGGTGTTTAGGGAATAACGTAGACTACTGGCCAGCAAATTTGAAGGAAGACCAAAATTTTGATTGGGATCTCTGGCTACGTTTTGAATGATTGTTATTGCTTAAAATGCTCTGTGTAAATGATTAAATAAGTTAAATTTTGCTTACTATTGATTATAATTTCTGCTTACTATTGAGTATAATTTCTTAAATTCATAATCTTGCTTAGACCCATTGTGGTCTGATGCTTTTGGGAAAAAATGTGGTTCAAAGCTGTTAGCTTCTTGAAATTAGCTGTACTTGAAGAATATTCTGAGGTTGCAGTAACCTTCATTTTTAGGGGGTGACTAACTTGATGAATGAGAACACTGTGACTGCAGTGTGCTCTTTCAGCTTTTGGCCTCTGGTATGAGACACTTTAAAAAGAGATCTGAGAGCGAGTTAGACATCTGGACTAAATGCTCTGGTTCCTCGTGTAGGCCAGAACATTAATGGCAATAACTTTTAGTATCCATTGGTATGGATTTGAGAACAACTTTTTATCTGCAGCACATCTTGGGAGCCCGTTAGTCTTGCTAAATTTTGAAGTAGTGTGTGGCGACTACGAAGAAAACTGGAAGAGCTCATGATAAGTGTTGACTGTAACTTGAACCTGACTATTTCATTCTGTGCCACAATTAGAATTTCCACAATCTCTTGTTTTTTAGAGGATTACCCCAATGGGACATGGCTTGGAGATGAAAATAATCCCGAGATGCGGGTCCGTTGCCCCATCACTCCTGCTGACATGCTGCACATCAGCACAAACTGCCGCACAGCTGAGAAGATGGCGCTGACATTGCTGGATTATCTTTTCCATCGGGAAATTCAGGCCATTTCCAACCTTTCGGGCCAGGGGAAGCATGGGAAGAAGCAACTTGATCCTCTCATGATTTATGGAATTCGCTGTGAGTATAATACTGAAACTTCTGAATTTATACCGTGTAGATAAAGCAGAAACTGTCTGCTACTTGCAGCTAAACTATGTTTTGTAAGAATATTTCCCATTTGTAAGAATGGGGTATGTATTGTTGCCAGACAGATGTTTTGTTAGCTTTTCTTTAATGGAGGAATCCTGGTGGGCTGGTTTAATTTAGCTTGTTGTGGGTGTTCACCAGAAATTCCTCAATCTTGAAATCTGAATTCAGATTCCTTTGCAACTACCAGCTGTGAGCACACCAAGTGGAGTAAATATCAGAGAAATATTACTTTTTCAGATAATGGAACAAATAATAAAACAAATTACGCATTTAAATACTGTTCAAGTATTCAAAACACTATGGTCTTGGATCTTAGTTTTTTGCTTCCCATTTATGGACTTGCTGACAGTGAGATGGAGGAAACTTGCAGTTTCTCCTAAAGCAGAGATTAAGTGTCGTGAAGTCTGTGGATTCATAACAGGAATGCATATGGTGCTAATGTACTTCTGTCTGTTCCAGTGTGCACGAGTCTTTTGGTTATTAAAGCTGTTAGGCAGTAAGGAACAGACACGACTTATATTGAAGATGCAATTTTTGGCAATTTAAAAGGAATCCAATGTGTTTTGTGTATAGAATATAGTAAGCATAGCCAGTAGTTTTAAGGGAAAAGAAGAATCTGGACATAAGCATCTTGTTCATATAGAGCAAGGACATATAGAATGCAGTAAGGAGAGCCACTGGTTTTGAGTGAAGAAGAATCTGGACATAGGCATCTTTCTGTGATTTGGTGACTTTTCGTAGGAATTTGCTCAGTGAATACATAGAGGACAGCCAAGGGTGTGCCATGTGCTCTGGTGTAAATATTTTCCAGCACAGGAGGTAGGCGAAGGCCTCTGGAACAGCCAAGCATCTGACCCAAGTGTACAGCTCTGGTGTGGTACCTTTGCTGTGCATTCAAAGAGGAAACACAGTTAAATACTTGGGTGAATCGAGAGAGTCTAAACATGACTGACTTCACTAATTGAACTAGATTCTAATATACCTGTAGATCTCATTGTTAAAAGGTTCTTTATAGTCACATCTTATGTAGGTCACCAATGGATTAGTAGAGTGGGAATAATTTGTTGTACTAGTGTTTTGTATGCAGTTGCCAATTTGAGATGCCAATTAAGGCTTAATGACATAGCCAGAGAGAGCTTATTTTGAATGGTGTTTGAAGAATTTGAGGTTTTGTTTCTATGCTTCTGTTAGGGCAATGTGTTTGATAGTTTCATGGAAGAAAAGGTGAAGGATATTCCGTGATGAGACTGCTGTGCTTTCTTTACACTGAACTGAGCTGAGGAAATACAGTCCTAGTGACCTGCTTTTGGTTCAGCGGTTTGCTGGCTGTTGGGGAAGCTGATAGGCAAAACAAACTCATCATTTTGCTGCTTTAGGTCAGTTTTTGTCTCATGACATGCCTGAAGCAGAAGACTTCAGGCTTCTACTGCAAATACATTATGTATGTATTTTAAAGGAAGATTATGATTCAAAGTAACTTTGACCTCCAAAACCTTTTTATCTGTTGATCTCATCAATGTAAATCTTGTTCCATTGTGTTTTTAAAACTCAGGTAGATTTTTGTTGACAATAGTTTTTAAAAACATGAAGCAATGACCAGCCTTCTTCCCTTGCTCCAATGTTGAAACAAGTCGCTAGCGACCCTTTTCCCCATCTCTTAAATCTGTGAGCACAAATCAAACGAGTGAGTTTACACCTTTTTGCATAGGAAGAACAGGTTTTTGAAAACGTGAGCGTGGGGAAGGAATGTGCTCACATGACTGAATGCTCAAGCTGGGGATTATGTCATTTAAATGAGACACTCTGACCATGAAGAAATTGGATTATAGGAGTGATCCCTGCAGTCGGAGAGGGTCTGCCATGGCAGAAATGTAACAGCAGTGGATCACAGGCAGCAGCATTCTGAATGATGGGCACAGAAACCACTGCCTGTGGTTTGATGTCATAATCATCATTCAGCAGGTTTGGGATCCAGGTATCTGAAGCATACCCTTATTTCTTCTTCATGTTGACTAGTGTGTTGCTTTCTTTAGGGAGTGAGTCTGTAACAAACTAGGGATTGTGCGTATTTTCTGCAAAAAATACACTCCATGTGAATCCGGCCAGAGTTTACTACTTTGGTTACTTAAATGTTAATGGTTATTGAGATTAACTCTCAGCAATGGCAGATTCCTGTGGCAACAAATGATGAAAATGCATGTAAACTTGATGAAGCAGCAAATTTAATAGTAACAACATTGGTCCAGAAATGATGATTTCATGTAATAACCTAATATGTCATCACTGCAAGTAATTAAGTTGAAATATTTCATTTCAGTAGCCTGTTTATGAATTTGCTGTGATGTGAGGGAGCATATGGATGACTCAAAACTTTTGAGGATGAGATTCTGGCCGTGTTCAGTTCAGGGGCAGAACTCCTGTTGAGCTCAGCTGTGCCACGATTTCATCCCAAATATTTGTCAGAGAGGTACTGGGAAGAGCCCTGCTATGCCATACCCACTTTGCTTTACCAGTCCACAGACCATCTGGTTTTTATTGGTGAAGTGTTGTTCCATAAAATCTACCAAAAACTGAGTACAGCTCTAGCATGGGAACTAAATTAGGTGCTTGTCCTCACAATGTGCTTTGCTTCTGCTCTGAGCAGAATTACTTTGATGTGTTATTTTAAACCTAAATGAAAAATCTCATGTCATCAGCCTCGCATTTGCCAGTCACAGGATTTTATTTTTTCTTTTGTTTCTTAAAGTTTGTCAGTAGAAAGATATTTCTTCCTTTCTTTTCTGGAAGAAAAAGAAAACACCAACCAAATCTGTATTTAATAGAAAGAATATTTTGTGTAATATGCAGAAACTCTAGAACATGAAGAAATGTCTGTTTATTAAAAATTCTTGATGTACTGCATAAGGCTTACCGCAAGAGATGAAAGTTTATCTTTGGAAGTATAAATTTTCACTTGTGGTATAAATTTGCTTGTGGAGTGGCAGTGGTATTGAAGAGAGTTTTGGGGCAAGAAACCAAAATGACTTAAACACACTATATGTCATTAAGTAGCTCATTACTTCAGCCCTACTAAAAACGTAGACGTTTTCTGGTGAAATATAAGAACATCCGCAGCTGTAATTTTCTTTGTGTAATAGAAAATACAGGTCTCTCTTGAGATTTTACAGTAATCCCCACAAATGAGTTTGAAAAAACAGATTTCCAAATTCAGAATTTTGCATTTCTAAGAAACTCTGTAACACAAAGGACGATTTTGCATGTCATCTTGGAAAAAATTGAGGGGATTTCTGGAGTTCATAAAAGAAAAGCTGTCAATAGCTCTTTTTCTTTAATCTAAGTAATTAAATGAAAACTCTTTAAAATAATAATCTAAGTGATTAAATGAAAACAAAATAACATTAGTTATTTCCTGTGCGTGTGACTTTGTTACCATGTCATTTCTGTGGAAGCCTCTTGCATCTGCAGGCGTGTTTTTGCAGACTCCCATCAGTTATTTTTTAACATATTTGTTTTTTTTTTTGCCAATTATGACAAGAGGATAGAAGATCACTACCTACAAATTAAATGCAGAACGAGTGGGTGAAGGAAGGAGGTACAAATTCACTGTGTTAGGGGGAGCCTGTGCTCTTAGTTCAGTTGTGCTGTTGGACCCCAGAAATCCTCTTTTGGTTCCATACAGTTGCTCAGGGAACTATTTCTGCGTATCGAAATAACTCTCACATTAAGGACATGATTGTTGTTTAAAACCAAAACAAAAATGAACAAAACAAAAGAAAAAAATCCCAGTACCCGCAGAGGGCAGGGCACTGTGGTGAAAGATGGACGAGTGATGTTACAGCCAACTCAGTGCCATTCTGTTGAATTTTCCCATCTGCTTCGAAAACTACTTTGTAGAGTGAATTTCTGTGGATTTCCATTCACGAGTTAACATTTATTTCATCCAGAATGCACCTCTGGCATTTAAATAGCATAGGGAGAAGTGTTATCTGAAAATACCTTACGCTAAAGTCTGATTTTTAACTACATGTTAAATGATTTATATTCCGTTTCAAATGACACGTAACTTTACTTTTTAAGATGCGATTAAAAAAGAAGAATCGAAAGAAACTCATAACCAAAGCTTGGTATTTCTGTTGTGTCATAATACTGCTTCCAGTAAAGATGGAACCACTTTTCTGCTGTCCTAGTTGAAAGAGGCTTTGATGGAGGAAGGAAACATGGCTGTGTCTTCTTCAGAGAGCTGTTCAAGCAGAATGAAGCATTTTACAAAATCCGTGGGCACAGTGCTGCTGGAGAAGCAGACCACCCACGTTTGTGTAATGGGAAACACGTTTGGCTCCTGAACAGCGTGGTGTGTGTCAGTTGGGTCCGTGTGTGTGTTGATGCACGTAACCCAAACGTGGGGCAGGCTGGGACAGGTCAGCCACTTGTGTCGTGTAAAATGGGTGAATCGCAGCAAGTCACTGCTGTTTCAGCTTCTCGTTTGCTTTTAATGAAAGAAGAGAGATGAGCTGAAAGAGGGGAGATTTCGATTAGATCCAAGGAAGAAATTCTTCCCTCTGAGGGTGGTGAGGCACTGGCACAGGTTGCCCGGAGAAGTTGTGGCTGCCCCATCCCTGGAAGTGTTCAAGGCCAGATTGGATGGGGCTTTGGGCAACCTGGTGTAGTGGAGGGTGTCCCTGCCCATGGCAGGGGGGTTGGAACTGGATGATCTTTGAGGACCCTTCCAACCCAAACCATTCTGTGATTCTATGAAGATTTTAATCTTAATAGCAATGCAGGGTGAGCAACAAATATATCACACTTCTGTCTTTCTTAAGCGTTATCATCTCTTAAATACTGGCGGAAGGGCAGTAAGTTGCTGCTCATAGACAAACTGTTGGCTCTCATGTTTCTCACCAGTGGATCTGTTTTATGAGGTACTGCAG